GGTTAATAGCGTATTGATGCTTTCGACTGCCGACAGAGGTTGGGTTGGGTGAAAGAAAAATTCCACTAAGAGAAACTCCGATAAAAAAAGCCTAAAAAAACGCCAAAACTAACCCCAACCTCTGCTTGGAGAGTATTGCAGGCGGCGGCGACTTTCTTCTGCAGACGGCGTTTCAGGGTTGACCGATCAATGAGACCCGAGAAATTGTCCACATCCGGGGCTTTGCCTCCAATTGAGGAGAGCGCAGAAATCGAAGCGCGATGAAAGAAAGCGCCACCGCGATGGCCTATCGACTCGCGCCGATAACTCTCTCTTGTTTAACCTCCCCGAACAACGACGCCTTATATAGAGGAAAGAAATGATTGGTGGGAGAACAGAGGGCAAAGGTCACGTCCTGGGGGTTGGACAGCGGGTTACAGTTCTGAGGATACAGTCATTGGGGTCAGTCGTGCCGCCCATAGTCAGGACGGGAGGTTATTAGATTTCGCCTCGTTTTTAAGGCTTGTCAGGAGGTCAGCACTGATGAAAAGAAAGCGTTTCTTACTTCCGATTATGTTCTCATAAAGCTGGTGCTATGGTATGTTATCCTTGCAAACGTTGTATTGATATTGCAGAGACATCACTGCGGATCTTTAGTACAAGAATAATGTCTAAACTTGGCTCCAAGGTCGACCGATTTTTCCACCAACGTATTTATACGAAACGCCGCTCAAATCGTTTCTTTGCAAGTCAAAGTGATGGTGGGTCAGATTACCGATTGAATCTACCACAGAGAAAAATGAGATCAGCCGGAGGCTATTGCCTGCTCGGTGCTGCAGCTGATGGACACAGGGGCGAGGGACAGAACAGATAAGTAGGTGGGGACCTGGTATTATACATCGTACGATCGGAGGGTATTCTTATAAACGTTTTATCCACACCTTTATCAGAATTATCAGTGTAGCCATCGTTCCTTAATTTTAAGCCAAAAATTACCTGATTTCGGAGGCTCTCGGAGGGGATCCCTGAACTTCATAACGAAAAACATCTGGATGGTTTTGAATACATGGCTGTTCATAGTTCCTCATACAAAGTATGAGCCGACCCCCAAAGTATTGGCCGACCCCCATCTTCCGAACTCTGCCTGGTTTTGTCTGGTTTTCTCGTGCAATGACTCTTTAAAAAAGTCCTCCCCGCAACCATTAACATGGTTGCATATGGCGGCGCCCATCTCCGTTTCTGTAGCCTTTGGGCCACGTAGTTTTGCCATCACTACAGCAGGGGGCTAGTCCATTGATAGTGGTGTGTGTTTAACTCCCATACCCTTTCTCGAATGCTTAGTGCTAAGCAGAGAAAGCAGTTCGTACCGTTTTTGTCTGGTAGGACTTGACCGGGGATCGAACTCACGACCTACCGAAAGCAAGGCAAGCACTCACATGGCCTTCGCACCGGTGTGTAAGCCGTGCATGTGCCCTACCAAATTCAACTGTCGTACGATCTGAGGACGTTCGTGGGATATCAGTGGGTGTCCTGCTAATTTCAGCAGTCTAGTTAACGATAAAGACTGTCTTAGATTCTTATCGGTGGTTTGTTCGAATTCTGCCAGAGCTTGCTTGAACGTAAATTAGTAGGTTGGGACCTGTTCAGATTATGTCGTAGGGTCTGAGCGCATTCTTCTTGTAGTCGCTTTTGTGTGCCCTGCTAAACCCAGCTGTCTAGCTATAGATAAAGACTGTCTTAGATCCTTCAGCATGAAAGTTCATCTGAGTTGGTAAATTACATTATGAAAAACTTAAACTTTTCTCCAACTCAAAATTTGACTCACCAGAAATTTTCGACTGAATCACTCAGTCTTCCTCAGCTATCTGACCCAAGCGCTGTGTCCTTTTTTATAATGTCTTAGATCCTTGTTTGCTGTTTGTACTGTCAAAGCTTGCTTGATAAATCTACGACATCAAACTCGTACGACGGCCTTAAAATGTATGTGGAATATGACCGCTCGTGGAAGATGGAAGGGCGACCACGATCACGGTTTGATGCGCCGTTGGCAACGCGAGCTTGCTTTAAGTGGTGCTTTCAGGTTGTCCGGAATATTGGACCGGGCTGCTCCCGTCTTGTTATCTTACCAAGAACGTTTATTATCTCTTCAGGATCTCCATGCTGAGCCCCGTTGAGCCACAGGAGGCCTCATGCAAGCAGAGCTCAGCGATGCGGCGATGCCTGTGAATATCACATGCACAGAAGGCTGTGTTCTGTAATCTGCAATTGAAAGGTAAGACTTATACACACGAGGCGGCTATTAAATCAACAGTGAAGATAAATATGAAATCACCATTTCAAAAGCATATATAATCCACAGGACTCATGTATCTAAGGCTTAATTGCGCATCCATCTGGCTTTCAATCACACGCAGTAAATGAATAAGCCCATATTGCTGAGACTAATACAGTTTCTAGGACAATACATCAGGCAAAATATGCTAGGTATGCTACAGTGTATTGATGTCATAAACTTCTGGATAATACTATAGAGGAAATATGCACATCTCTGAAGGAACACTGGTAGAGGTTGACGAAGGTATCATGGCATTCAGCCAATGAGATGCAAAAGGAAACAGTTACTTAGCAGTGATCCAAGACACAGAACACTTATTCATCTATCCAGCTACTTGTCAATGAGTAACTGCTATCCTATAAATCCTAGACTGCAAATTCGAGATCTTAATGTTGGTTGATATCGGTAAGCTAAGATTGTGTTGACAACTCTGATATCTAGAATTATCTACACTTCAAATTCTTCACCTTAAGATCAACCGTGTAAACTCGTTCTTTGCGCAAATGTATGTATCTCCCCATAAGGCGTGCATTGCATACTCCACTGCATAAAGAAATAAACCCAGCCATATATACCTGCTTCAGAAGTAGCATATTTGACGCTTTTCGATCCACTTTGAGTTCATATCATAGTTCATTGTTTCTGTTGCACACTTTCAAGTAGCTTCGAGCATAGCACTGCACGAAAAGTTGGATTTGCTAATGTCAGTAAATGACAGTTAATGTTTACGTTTCACAATGGTAGTAAATAAAGTCAAGTCTGGTAATTTGGATTCAAAGATCATATGGCAGTAAATGAAATAATTGAACTTGACTTTTATTTAATGCCATTGTAAAAACCTACCTGGTACTGTTTACAAAGTAAACATTGCCCAACATTACTGACATTTACTACCATTGGTAAATCCAACTTTGTGCGGATTTACAATAAAGCTATTATAAGAGCTATTCGATACTTTACAATTAGACAAGATATGTAAGAAAATGTCAAAGCAAGACACATTTAAACACTTGATGTCATGCAAGAACGAATTCAATGTGCAGTAGACAAACTATACAGTTATGTTGTACTTTCCAGATGTTTCAAAAAGAGAGAAGAATGGGCAACTAACAGTAGATGATAGGTAGTATATACTATTGTTGTAATATATATAGAATCCTAGCACTTAACATTAGAATATAGCGTTCCAGTATGCAATGCTCATGTTTTTTTATCCTCTCGACCACATTTGGTGACATTTATGCATTTAGCCCACCTGGGCAAGAACATGCAATAAAGATTCATGTCAATTATTGGTACTTTGCTTCAGCTGTTGGCTGGTGACCAGAAGAGGCGAGTCATGGCTTCGCGAGTTGCAGCATTCTGCATCCTTCTCGGCAGTGTTGCAGGTAACGTGATGTTTAAAGATATATCTCATGATTTGTGCATTGTGTAATATATGTGTGGTAGAGTCCTGCCTGGAAGATTTGCCTGATATAATTCTTGTCGGTGACACAGGGCGTCTCAAATATTATCTAAAAGACCATGTACTAAGTAGGTCATAGAATCTGTCAGCAAGGGTTTGCAGAATTTTTCTAGAACCGTTGGGCACTCGTAGAAAGTTACTTTAGGAATCGATAGTCCTGTGTGTTTATCTTCTTGTCCACACGACATTTTCTTTACCTGCAGACCGACAGACAAGCTTCTAGTAGGCTTCAGAAGCGTCTGGAAAAAGTGACATTGGCTAAATAGACAGATAACAAACATGTCAGAGGATAACATGCCAGCTATAATTTACAAGGAATTAAACCAACAACAACAGACTTTTGGTCACATTTTGAGAAACGAGTCGTTGCTACTACAAAAGTATGTTTTCCATGTTCTAGTTTACCTGTGATTCTCCCCTGGTGTGTTATCTGTATACGTCGGCAATTCATAGTCTTTCCATACGCTTTCGAAGCCTGCTAGAGGCTATACATACGGACACTTGCGTGTCGGTAGCCGAGGGATGGGAGTGGCAGGAGTTTTCCATCTTGTACGTGGCCTGTCGAGACGAACAGTGTTCGTGCTCAGCATATATCCAGTCGGTTTCCCGTTTCAGTCGCTGTGACAGACTGACCCAACCGCACAGCTTTATCAGTCTACACGCAAGAACCAGGGGACAAACAGAAATGTCATACATGCATATTCCTTACTGCAGTTTGCCACCTCAGGTGTAGCATAAAGTGCATATATCCTCCATTTGCATACATTCATACATAAAAACTTGTATATTAAATGAGAATTTTATTGCAAATTCGTGCCCGGGGGCTAATATGCAAATTACAAACATAAAAGAACAATGAAACAGAGTTTAAAATAACTAAAATCTACATGATAGAAGGTAGTTGTCTAAAGCTATAGCTATTACTAAAACTATGTCTAAGGGGTTTGACTTCTCTTTTTAGACCATGGAAGACGTAATGTCCCACCTTCTCCAAAATTCTCTTGAAAAGAGAAGAATAGTTTTATTTTCTTTGTCTGGAAGTTTAGTAAAATTGGGATAAATTGTAGACGTTTGAATAGTTAACTCACGACGCAACTGGCTTTCTATGCTATATATGGACCATGCAAGGGTTTGACCTTCGCTGTCAGTCAACAGTCAGGCGTGGTTGAAAATGTTGTCTGTCAAAGGCCCCTAAATGTCAATGTCAAGGAAAAGACGCGAATGCTGACGTCTCAACGTCTCGAAGGAGGCAAACGAGGTGAGGTAAAGAGCATCTTTCATGTCCAGGCTTACATTTGGCAGGTTGTTTCCATGCTTGACTGAGTGTGCAGACTGCAGAAGTGTTTACGGTCGCAGAGCAGAAGCCATGTCGTGAAATGTGTTGGATCCAACAACGGAATATGAAAGGAAATGGTTCATATGCAAACTCGTGGCTAATTGAAACGTAACACACAGAATGTAAAAAAGTAAAAACGAAACAATTAGAATCTTAGTTTAGATTGGTTTCTACGAAAATTACTGAGGAATTTGACTTCTTTTTTGGAGACAGTGCCTAATGAATGCTCACACGTTTAATGATGGGGAACGCTGGGGGAATTGTGTTATTTTAAGAAGCCTGTTTCTTTCAGCTTCAGTTAAGTACAGTGTTGACGCCACAACGTCGGTGTAAGGCGCCATTACGTCTGCATCGGCCGTTAACATACAATTTTGAGTTAGAATATGAGGTTTTATCATTAGAGTCAGAGACTGAACACGTACATTCGTGCCATTGCCGCCTAACGATGACGATTAATGTGCACAGTGACCAAGGACTGAGCTATACTTTGGTCTGGTGTTCTCAGAAATACGATTGACAAGATACGCACTAGAATGCTCAGATGGTTTGAGCATGTGATGCGAAGACCAGCAAACACCTTAGTCTATAAGGCATACCACCAGGAGTTCCAAAACCCTAGACCCCGGGGAAGACCACCCAAAAGGTGGAAAGACCAGATTCTGAGTGACACAGGGCTTACCCTAAGGGAAGCAGAGACTATTGCCCTTGATAGAGCTGGCTGGAGGAACGTGACAGAGGGGAGCAAGGGGCCAGTGCTTGTCCAGTACTTGTCCTGTGCATATAGGCAGGCAGGTAGGCAGGCTAAGAGATATATACCAGACTCTGGTCGGTAGTGGAAACGTCCTTTTTGGAATACGAGAGACGGTGACTGTACATTGTGCCATGATAACTTGTGTGCGGTCTGACCGATGATGCACCGTGTCATTCCCGAAGTCCGGATTCCTTTGCTTCATCATGTTCCTCTCGGTTTCGCAATCGCTCAGTCCCGAGCCTCTGTGTGATAGCGTAGCGTGCGTAGTTCAGTGGTTAGCGATCTTGCCTCTGGACTAAGAGGTTGGGAGTTCGAATCCCGGCTGTTGTCGTTCACCCGACATGCACGCTACTATTTAGGATCACAGTCCTTCGGACGGGACGTTAAGCCGTGGTCCACTGTTCATATTGTACATGTCGAAAAGAGCTAGGGGAATTTCCCTGTTACAATGAACCTGTAAATACTGTACATAGAGTCTGTCTTCTCTGTCACGACCAGTGGAAGATTAGCTCTTCAATGAGCTAAACTGGTTCGAGATCACTTTACTTTTACTTTTAAGATCGCGGTCGGTGCGAATTGACTTGAAGTCGCTTGAAGGTGATGGATCCCCGTCCGGCCGACTGTGTTGGGTTGGATAATAGCGTTCGGCCCCAGGCTATAACTGGCAGGCAGGTCACACCGCTCAAGGTCCTTCTCAACTTCTAGATTCTTGAAATATGCAGAAATACAAGAAAGTGGCCAAGCTCTTCTACTTCAAAGAGCACGTTCACAGCGGTGTGAGGTGGGAAACAGTTGGTAGCACTGCCAATGAAAATGTATGTGGACACTAAGCTTTCAGACCGGCAAACGTATGGAGTATTACAATTACTGTGACTGACAATGAATGAGTGAGTGTGTGTGTGTGTGTGTGTGTGTGTGTGTGTGTGTGTGTGCGTGTGTGTAGTAAATAGTGTAGTGTGTGTGAGTGTGCGTGTGTGTCTGTGTCTGTGTGTCTGTGTGTGTGTGTGTGTGTGTGTGTGTGTGTGTCTGTGTGTGTGTGTCTGTGTGTGTGTGTGTGTGTTGTGTATGTGTGTGTGTGTGTTGTGTATGTGTGTGTGCTAAATATACTGGTAACATAGAATCATTGTCACTTAAACTGAACCCAGAACCTGCTTGGCACAGAATAGCCCACATAGTCACGACACTGACCACGCAGAACATTGTGCGCTGCAATGTGCAGTGTTTTACATGGACACGAAGAGTCTATATCTAGCTCACATTGTGGGTGGTCCCAGCTGCAGCCCCATTACATTTGTCGGTTCATCTCCTGTATCCTAATAAGGACAGCAACAGACGTGCAGGGTTGCAGTCATTTTGATTTCATGGTTTGATTCCATTTTGATTGCAGTCGCAAGTTACTTTTAACAACATAAATTCAGCGCCGTTTCTAGGGAATAGACAGTGATTGTTTTCAACTCGAATTGCGCTTCTAATTATTTTCCGCTGTAAAGTGGTTTTATATTAGATTGTGAGGACGCGGGTTAACGTCTCAAGGGCAGGAGCAAAGGGTTGGAGATCGAGTCAGTAGCATCGTTATGTCGTAAATTTGTCATGATTATATGTAGGATTCCACTCGTAAACTGTAATAGTTTCGATTGGAATGCCATGCATGTGCCAGGAGCCGTTACTTTTATGGCAACATTTGATTATACTCGGCTAAAAGGTAAATGGACGTTGAGGGGATGACAGTTTTGGAGACATATTGTGTAAGTAATGCATGTTCTACAAAAATGACCTACTGAACCATTAATAATTTTTTTACAGTTACAAATAGGTACGGGGCGTAAAATGGGAGGTGCGTTTGGGTTATTGTATGGCTCATCTCTAAACATAACTGCTAGAAAGAGTGATTGAATCTGCGCTTCCAAAACACCTACAGGCTTTATGTAATTTCTCCTAGGTTAAGAGAAAGCTCCACTAATACCAGGGACGCTTACATATCCTCAGCATGCAACCAAAGGAATATTTTGCAAGACAAAAATTCATTATCTATATTAAAATCCAACAAACGTTAAATAATCAAATGTAATTCCAATGTATAAGAGCTAATCTGTGTCAAACTGCGTTACACGTTCATATTTCTTATTTATTTATTTATTTATTTCAGCATAAGACGGCTGGGCAGCCCCATTCAGCTTACAGTAGCTGTTTTCCAAGGGGGCCCAGCAAAATTACACAAGACATTGTTACATACAGTAAGACAACATACAGTAAACATAAAAGTCCGATGCGTCAAAACAGAGTCATAGTCCTATACTCAAATTTAAGTCCTAACCGTTCAAAGGTAAAAAAAAAAACACGAAAATCAGGAATGGAGGCTTACTGGCAACACGACATTATCCATATCAAAATCCAACAAACGTTAGATAAACAGATGTAACTCCAAGTTACAAGATCTGATCTGTCTCAAATTGTGTTACACGTTCATATTCCTAAGCGTGCTAACTGGCAATAAGAACGGTTTATTTGACATTTCCCTCACATATGTCACACTTGCAATCCTAAGACCGAATTATGGTGATAGTACATACATACATTATCATAGACTTATACAATTATTACTAAAGCTTAAAAGTTATAATTACACAAAAAATTTATCAAAGTTATTGCACTAAAACACACTACAACTACAATTTATGTCAATAAAATCTTTAAGATCTATAAAACATTTCTTTGTAAGTATACGTATAAATGAAATGTGTGTGTAGAAAACAATTTTAATCGAAAGTTTAATGTCCGATGCACACGCCCTCCTCTTAATGAGATAAATGGCTGGCCTAGGTGTACTTCAACGTGTCATCTTGTATATACATGTATATTGAAATAAAGATGATTTTAACCCCCCTTATACCTACGCATCGTAGGCTGTTATTGCGAGAACGACGTTTATTCAGCAGGGTTTGCCCCCACCCAAACGACTCACGGTAGACGCCATTACACCTAACGGCCTGTCATTCCTATAACTTTAATCAAATGAGGCCATAAAACGAACGGCTCCACGAAGATATATGAGTGTCGCTGTAATTGAATTTGTGGTTTTGTTCCATCCCCTAATATAAACGTTAATAAAAGGAGTGCGCACGGGAGGGGCATTTTGATATCAGCGTGCCTTTTCCAAATACAGTAATTCCTGATTTTTTCACTGTGCTTTTATGTTCACTGTTTTCGCTGTCACTTCTGTACTGTGAACTTATCATTACAGTTAACAAATAATTCCTGGACTTTCTTATCCCTGCACCTGTCGCCGCCCTGAACATATAGTTCCGTGAACATGTCCATTTTTCTCAGACCGTGAACTTTTGCTACCGTAAACATAAAGAGAATTCCAGTAAACGGACGTCCATGAAGGGTAGAGAGGGGAGCAGCATCTGAAAAATATGTGGCCTGAAATTGCGTTTTTAAATGTCGATCTTGTTGCAAGGTATCAGTAATTTCACGGGTAGACACGGATACCAAAACATATCATTGATGGGAAAAATCACTACATACTTTACATAGTAATAATCATTAGTTTGTATGGTTTTAGTAAAAATTTTTACATCTGAATTATTCACGACATGTACTTCGCTTCACTTAGCTTGAGGAGCATAAATACCAAGATCAGGCAGATTTTCTCATCCACATTGTCTAATGTCAATAGTTTGTGCTTATAAACCTGCATTTCTCTTCTGCTCTCTCAGTCACTGACGAAGCTAGTGGATACTAGCTGAAACGTCTGACCGTTTCCAAAATCATATATCCAGTCGCTTGAGTAACTGCTTTTTGGTGAATTGTATTACCTGGATGTCTAACCTTCATCGACGTCTAATGTTTGTTTGTCACCCAGAAATTACCTTTTTTGCCACCCTGAAATTGCCTTTAGATCATCCATCAAGATTCGTAACCTTGGGAATACCGCCATAAGGAATTTCAGGATACACAACAAGGAGTCTTCAGAATTGGCAGTAGAGAATACCCCTGCTACTTATAACTGATGGCCAGCCGTGCGTTACGGGTACTTTATATTCTCCACGGCTCTGACGCTGAAAGACAAATGGCATCACAGTAAGGGTCTATTGGGGAAGGAACCTTTCATAAATCTTGTAGACAAATTTGTAGAAAATCACGTTCTTCATCGGGTAACAACCTAACCTAAAATTAAACGGCCGTATTTTCATGATCTGTCTCCACTGATATGATAAAAAATGTCATTACTCTAGCATTGACTAGTCGTACGTACATACTGTACTCATAAATAATTTAAGAATGTTTAAGATTGTTCATCTGGTGAAAAAAAAATTATCATAAACAGTAGAAAAGATAGATGAAAATTAAATGACAAAAATGAAAAAAAAAAGAAGAATCACATGAACTCCTACATAATGGGCATATGATGGTCACAATTATTTAATAGTGAAACCTTTATTGTTACAGCATACATATACTCCATACGTAAGATGACGTTATCCACACATGTATTTAGCTTTGTTAGATCTTTAGTTGCAGGAGACCATACAAAAGTCTCTGTACTTTTTTGTTGTGTCAATAAAGAATCTTCAAATCAAATCATTAATATATTTGCAATACCTGCAGACGTATGTTAGGAAACAAGAACAGAGAAAAGTCATCTGTAACCTGGCAATATTAAACCAAAGTCACGGGAATTCTCCGTCTCTGGTGGGGGAGAAATTTTGATTGAAACACAACAGGCTCTAATTAGATCCCGCGGGTTAATCAAAATTTCAACAAGTAATTCAATTAACCTTGGCAGACATTGTCATTACCGGTGTTTGCGGGGTTTTCTTGGTGTGGGCGAACAGTAAGAAGAGAACAGGAAATAGCCATGCCTTCAAGTACCAGAGTTATCAACCAAGTATTGAGGTGTTCAAGAATTCATTCTTTCCTAGAACTATGGCAGAGTGGAACTCGCTGTCACCAAGTACAGTAGGGGCATTGTCATTAGATAGCTTTAAACAATGTCTAGAATTAAAAGTTCAAGGGTCAGGTGTAACAAGTCGATCGGTGTGATATACCCAGCTGCCGCCGCGCCGCGTGCCTGCGAAGCTGGTGTGTAACGCGGAAAGGCGGTTATACCGGCTATACAGATACAGATACAGACAGAACACAGAACGACAGAAACTGTCATTAGACATGTAACTGACTGAGGAGGCCAATCGTTGGAACTATCTATGCAAATTTACGACACGAGTCTGTCTTTTCATTCCTAACCTTGAAACGAACGTCTTGGGGCGAGTTAGAAGCATGATAAGCTATCATTTGCATCTAAAAGGTAAAGGTAGTCCCAAAGCCTTTCTGAGGTAACCCCATGGCCTTCCTTACGCGAACACAGAAACGACAAAAATGTCATAAGACAGGTAACTGACTGAGGAGGCTAATCTGTGAAACTAATTGATAGCATGTGAATTTACGACGTGAGTCTTTCTTTTCATTCCTAACCTTGACGATGAACGTCTTGGGGCGAGTTAGATCCATGATAAGCTATCATTTGCATCTAAAAGGTAAAGGTAGTCCCAAAGACTTAACATCTGAGGCCGTAGGGGCAGTGGGTTGTTGATCAGTTGTTGATCTAATTCACTAAAAGATCTTCGTCGTGGAACGTGAGAATGAAAGGAGAGATTTATTGCATATAAGACCTGGTTCAATGTAAGGTTTGACTGTTGAACCTTGAAGTTTGGTTGACCCTGGTGCTATACTCCGTGGTTACCGCCAGCTATCGTTTTGTTTCTGAGGTAACATTTCAAAACCAGGCCCGGCTGGGGTGTTTGCTTAAACGAAAAATTAGCAATGCATACCAAGAATAACAAGTGTAACAAGTCGATAGGTGTAATGTAGCCAGCTGCCGCCGCGCCGCGTGTCTGCGTAGCTGGTGTGTTGCGCCGAAAGGCGGCTTACCGGCTGTACAGATACAGATACAGAATCTACAACTTACACACGAGAGCACACCGGATGAATCGATGAGCCTGTGTGTCCAACAAACTCGGTCCAAAAACAAGTATGTACCCCGCGTCTAACTTCAACCTTCATTAACCACGGAGACAAATATTAATCGGGGAAATGCATGGTAATTACATGCTAACCATCCGTCTCAGGCGAGGCCATATTGCCACCTGCTATTCCTTGATTGCCTCCTGTCGTCCATTAGTTATGCCGCTATCGCCCGCGGCTAGCCGGGCTCGGGTCATTAAGCCAGACTACACAAAATAAGCAGGACTACCCAATTTGACTTTTATTAGAAGATGTCTTTCCGAAGGACGCCAGGGTGCTCAACACGGTAAAAACCGTTATATGGCCCGCCAGCGACTGGGTTGTAGTGTATAGACTCCCTTTAATAAAGTCAGACCATTCATGCACATCCTTCCCGAAATGTGAAAACACAATAAACTACTAAATCTTACTTATTTTGTCATTTACCGAAATTCCGATTCTCAATCTCGAATTATTCACAGATGTTAATGTACTGGTCGACTTTGAAAAATCACCAATTAATGAGAAATAAGCTATGGGCTGTCGCGTTATGTTTAGCCGGGGCTTACAATGAAAGCATTCGTGAACACAAGGACGACCTATTAAGTGCGAATGAAATAAGTTTGTGACCTAGATCTCATGTAACTTGTAAAAAATGTAAAATGTTATCACCTTACTAGTACTAAGGCCATGTTGATTTGATTATATGGATGACATCCGCGCGCGCATGAATTTTCGGCCGTTTCCAAAAAAGAAAAAAGTTTTCCTGTAAATCGTGCAAAACAGTTGCTAAATGAGCAAAAATATACCATAAGTTGCAAGGAAAACATTTAGAAACGATACTAATGTCGTAGAATGCCAAAATCAAAGGAAAAAAGACAAAAATGTAAAGAAATGAATTCGAAGAGTAGATTATTCGCCATAACATATTCTGTGCCATTTGTTCAACCTTCATGACCACGTAGATTTTATAGTGAAAGCAACTTTTTTTTTTGCAAAACTTTTTTTTTATTCGCACGCGCGCATCAGTTTTGGGGTTCCCAGAGGATGTCATCCATATAATCAAATCAACATGGCCTAAGAGGTGAGAGGTCAGCAATATTACATTAGAAATAATTCGAAAGTTCATCTGTGTTGGTAGAACTAGAAGTCATTATGAAGCAAGATTGGACAACAAATTGGACTTACCCAGACAAAAGCGGTGGATTTGTCATTCCTTGACAAAGACCGGAGTTCTGATTCTTTGTGTTTGAAATCACAGTCTGAGCGTGTCTTATTGAAAATAGCATAATTTTAAGAAAAGCTATACCCGGTTGAAATGTCCACAACATATTGCACTCAAGATACCATCGCCATGTTGCTACTAAAGAGAAAATTCCTTCAAACATTTCAAATATGCATAGCGTCCTCCCTGCAGTGGACCAATGGCCTTAACGAGAGGTAAAGGTTCAAAACCGATGCATCTTTGATGACTGTAACGGTTGCTGGCCGTATGCAGCAGCATCAGCGCTCTCGTCAGAACACGGTATCGGAGAACTCCTATTATCTGAAGGGAAATTGCTCCCATTTCATCTCGTTTTTGATAGGATGCTTTTGATGAGTGGTGCTATTGATCGTGGTGTAATATCACCCTCTCGCGAACCATGTCAAGTAAGGGCAACTCTTGATGTATCAACTTTGAAGGGTCTTTCGATGTCCTCTGCATCTCAAATATTTCTACATTTCAACAGTGTATCAGATACTAGTAGAATATTGGCTTGGAGAATGTAATGATTTCATTTGTCAAGTATCAGGCATTGTTTTGCCATCATCTTTTTCTGTTTTTTTGCAAGAATAATTCCAGAACTACCAATAGGAGTTAGGGAAACAGTCCAGTGGAAGGGCTGCTAGAAGTGTGATGTAGTCAGGCTAGGGGCCTGACCAGTGGAAGGGCTGCTAGAAGCGTGATGTAGTCAGGCTAGGGTCCTGGCCAGTGGAAGGGCTGCTAGAAGTGTGATGTAGTCAGGCTAGTGGCCTGACCAGTGGAAGGGCTGCTAGAAGCGTGATGTAGTCAGGCTAGGGTCCTGGCCAGTGGAAGGGCTGCTAGAAGCGTGATGTAGTTAGGCTAGGGCCCTGACCAGTGGAAGGGCTGCTAGAAGCGTGATGTAGTCGTGATCCGGCTATCCATCTGCCGTCCTAACCACGCTGGCATCACTTCCGGTCTTGATCCCCATTACATATGTTTCGTGATGAATGGACATACTGGTGAACTCAGTGTTATCGGTGCAGTTGGGGGGGGGGTCATACCAGAGTTCATTTGTGGAGGTTATTGCACGTTTGATGCAACAAGTCTGTTTTTAATTAAACACGCTGAATATTCTCAAACCGCAATTTGAAATCCCAGAATCATACATCTAAAATCTGAACACTGTCTATTTCTTTGTGTAGTGTTAATGATACTTTTGAAATGATGATCCTTTATTTGTAAATTAATGCCCGAATGCTAATTGTATCAAAGGGTCAGGTAAGTGAAGTAAAGCAAAAGAGAACTACTACTGTCTGATGAACCAAAGTAATACGTTTGCTATTGTGGGGTTGTACGTAGTTGTTTCAGTTTTTTTTTTATATATATATTCCGAAACATTAAATCACAAGACGTGGTGACGGCACACTCAAGTTTTTTCAACTTATATTAATGCCGCCACCAACAAAGGGACAGTACAATACTCATTTACACCTGAGCGAAGTGAGGAAAGTCGTGTAAAGTGCCTTTCCCAAGGGCACAAGATCGGTGGCATGTCAGGACTCGAACCCGGGGCCTCTGGTTCCGAGTCGAGAACGCTGCCGCTACGCCACACGACCCCACAGCTGTTTCAGTTGTAGTGGTTCAGGGCATTTCAAATCAAATTCTGTATATTTGTTAAGTTGTCATCTGATTAACAGACTCTATTAATTGTTTACAGTAATCTGCACTGCCAGATGTAGCCGGTCAAGACCTATGAAAGGTAAGTACTGGACATGTAATATTTCTATCTACTTATATATCTAATTGTTTTAAAATTACCATTGCTGGGTACGGTGAGTAGGATCTACCTAAGTACGCAAGTGTGTGTGTGTGTGTGTGTGTGTATGTGTGTGTGTGTGTGTGTGTGTGTGTGTGTGTGTGGTCGGGGGGTGGGGGGTGGCAGGCAGAATAACAGTAGACCAAAAAGTCAGACACTTGACATAGACTGATATTGAACATCGAAACACGCCATCTCCTTGACTGCTACACTGAATTAAAAAAAAAAAAAAAACTTCACGGAAGTCAGGAATCTCAGATTTCCTGTTCACATCTTGCAATTCTTTTCGTCCTGCCTAGTCACTACGAAAACCCCACATATCAGAGCGCAACATTAGGCCCAGAGCCAATCCAGATCCTATGATTCTGTGGTACTTTCATTCTGTAGACAAATTACCAACGCTACCATCACACGGTGTGGAAACCGAGTGGGAGATTAGAATCTACTCAGTTCTGGGAATGTAGCCCAAATGTTGTCCTCTCTGAAGCTATGACGTACAGAAAAGCTGCTTAGTAACACAACCGTGTCTTTTCTAGACAAAATGTAATAATTCCCATTGGATTTCAAGGGAATTGCCCACTAGTAGATGAAATGCCTACATTCTGAGTGCGTTAGAAGAAGAAGTGTTTTCAAAGTTTCAGATTAAGACCAATCGTGAACGGGTCATTGTCTATACGACAGAATCATGATCGTTAATTTAATGTTAGCACAAAGTTTAATACTTATCAATATTGGTACTACATGTAGGTACTGCGAATATGAGAAAATGGGGTGGAGAGAAATAAACCAATTACTACCATGGCACCACTAAATTTAATAAAGATAAATTTTGTAGAAGAAAGGCTTTATTGCAGCACTAGAATCGTGTAAGGTACAAAATATGATTTCCCTTTACCCCGCGTGCTTCTTATACGCATGAATTAGCGACGTTACCGTAAAAAGGAGAACTTTTATAGATGAACAGGAACTTTATTGCACTACAATACACGGTACAAAGTATGGAAACAACTATCGAACATATAGAATTTATATGATTTCCCTAGCTCTATCCCGCGTGCTTGTTATACGCATGAATTAGCGAAGTTACCGTAAAATATAGAAATTTTATAGAACTTCTTTGCACTATAATCGCACATGATAAAAAATGCATTGCAACAACTATTGAACATAATGTTTATATGATTTCCCCATCCTGCGTGCTTGTCATACGGATGAATTAGCGAAGTTTTAAAGACTTGACTGATAGTTGACGTCTCGTCAGTTGTGTTATCCTCAGGAGGAATCCCGGACTGATTGTACATTATCTCTCCCCGAGTCTCATGATGAGGCGTCATGAAGCGAATCCGGATCAAACTTCCAGGGAAGATGAAACTAATTCCCCCTGTCCCAAGCTATCGGCGCTCTCCGACGCAGTTCACTTGTTCATAATTCGCGAATCTAACCCTACGAACGATTTTCTGGAAATTCCGAGGCGTAAGCGTTATTGTGTAACCTCGGAATTCGGTAATCCCTTCCACAGGTCACGGCAGCGGTGGCGATATTACTCGCGTTACGTGATAGAAATGTACTATCCGGTTCCTCTGCAGCAGAGGTGCTGATTTCAGCCACGTCAGCAGATATATGAGACGGGACTGGCATCAATTTTGTCCCCTTAGGGCAGGGACTCGGGGGAAAATTATCGATCTCTGTCGTTCAATTTCAGGGATACTCAAGAAAGACATGGTCTAACATGTTAGATATATGAGAATATTTAACAGAATTCGTGCATAACGTCTTGTGGGTCTAACTAACAATCAGAATAGCAATGACAATGAACTTCATTCCATATTTATGACTAACATGGGCTAAATGCATTATTTAGTTGACTTACATGTAAGTAGGGGAGTAGGAACATTATGCTATTTCAAAACATAATCCAGCAACTGCAACCACTTCATTCACATATTTTCGTTACTATTAATCATCGATACGTCGATGAAGGTTACACATCCAGGTGATACGATATGCCAAAAAACATTATTAATCATCGATATTAAAAATTTACAGCATGAAGTAAACTTCATGAAAATTGGTAACTAGAAAATATCAATCTAAGTATGTAGGAAATAGCTCTCAGTCTGATATCAAAAGAGAATGACACGTACTTTCTACTCGAATCATCTGAACGTACATGAATGAATGGATGAATGGGCTTCATTGCTCGACAATTGTACATGGTACAATGTGTGGCAATGGAACAACAATACTACAAAACTTTACTATCTTACAATTATTACCACAAAATACTATGGATAACAATGTATGGGTTACAATATGGTTATGTATTGATGATTTGGCCTCGCTTATGGAATGAGGTGTACAAAAGATGACCTTTGTAGGCTGAGTACATGTTGTTGTTTTGTCCCGTTTGAAGGATGCGGCCGAACATTGAGCGCGTACCGCGGAACCATCAAATCACCCGGCTTCCCTAACCCGTACCCTCCCGCGCTAACGGAGGACGACCAGGTCTGCCAGTGGATGATCAGCCTGCCCTACGGACACGGCATCAAGGTGTATCTGTACGACTACGACTTTAACTTCGAGCCAAACGACGTTACGACGGTGTACGACGAGTTACAGATCTTCAGGGACATAGGCTGCAGCGAGGCTAACAGAGAAAGGACGTTTGTGGGCAACTTTAGCTCCACGTCGCTAATTCACCTGCCGAGCCACTGGGCCTGCATCAAATTCATCCGGAGGACGCTTCAAAACCTGCAGCACACGGGCTTTTCCCTGTCGTATGAAGGTGCGTGGAGCTCTAGTTGTCACTGGACTGGACGCATGATAGATACCTTATGCTAAATGTGGTAGGGTCTAGTTGTCACCAGGCTGGACGGATGATAGATACCTTATGCTAAATGTGGTAGGGTCTAGTTGTCACCAGGCTGGACGCATGATAGATACCTTATGCTAAATGTGGTAGGGTCTAGTTGTCACCGGGCTGGGTGCATGATAGATACCTTATGCTAAATGTGGTAGGGCTATTCGGAGTAACGACATTGATCTCAGCCAGCACAATCAAGTAATGGAATCTAAAAGAAGAAACCATTTTCGGAAAAACCTTTTGACTCACATATTAAAAGAACGAATTTCATAATCTATTTTCAACTGATAACAATGTATAATATGGGCAAATGATGACCTTGTTTTATACCCATGCTCCCTCTCCATAAAATTAATTGAAATTTGGTAAGGGTGTGCTTTAAATGTACACCCATAGAAATTCATTGACACTTTTAGCATGCAGATCTTTACTATAATGTACCAACTTTATGATTATCATTGTTGGAACCCATAAGACTGCATGAGCAATGTGACAATTTTATATGACTGTCAAAGACTTCAACGAGCAACAAAAAGTTTCTGTAAAAATCATCGATTCAATGCTAAACTTGACAGCTTATGTGCCATTTCTTGAGTCTGAGTGCACATACTGATTCTCTACATGACAAACTGCATCTATCCAAGCACATAATGTGTTACCCAAACTTCCCATTGAGGTGTCAACGCAGAGCAGATAGCAGTACATTTGATTAACTGTGTTCCGTATATAGTGACGTTTCCGAACGTAAATCAAACTAGTTTGTCTCACCATTACTTATACGCTCCGTGTTAAAGCTACACACAAAGCAATACAAACGATAGGGATCTTCTGGAGATTTTTCCACAAAAAAGTTGACAGATGGAAAGTCCATTTACTCTGGGACGGTCTGGTTCCATTAAAGCCTAATGCATGACTATCAATCAATGTAGGCAATGTGTCGTGTTCGGTGTCACATATAAATAATGGGTACTTACTTGTGTTTCATTTTAAGTATGGGTTGGTTTCACAAGTTTGTTTTTATGAAACGATTTATTGCAGCCAGAAGCTGAATTGCGTAACCGTAACGAACGTCTGACGTCATTAAACCACGGCTGACGTCATAAAACTGTAGCAATTTCAATAGAATTATAATAATTCAACACCCACATCTATACATTTTTTCAATATTCATTGTTCGAGTGTTTTTAGAGTGAAATGCAATCGTTAAAGCTGTAATAAATCAGTGCATGTCTTTTGTCAAATGCTGAATGTAGGTGACTCAGTGATGGACTATTGTTTGTTAATTGTTAATTGTAAATTTTGTTCATATTAGAATAATTGTTGTTTGTCTATTATGTGATATAGTATGTTAGTATAAGTATGGCATGTACTAGTACATGACTACCGATCCTTATTGTTGATCTACCTAATGCAAGAGTGTGTAGTACGTATGGGGTGACAAATGGGCTTCATTAGGGAAGTGTCTAGACATTCTTTAATATATTTTCCTTTGTATACAATACTGGGGTTGTCACATGCAGTTATGTACTTTTTTCCGTCATATATTTACACAGGGTTTCCCACTCAGTGACGATACCGCTTTTCAGTGGGGCCCTGTATTACACAAATAAACAAAATTCACCATTCAAAAAAGGCTCGTATAAACAATGAAATTACGATGAAATAAACAATGATAATGATCCAAAACGGTGACTTAAAAATCACTGTGAATAGTAATAATGCTATTAACAAAAAATGTAATGATTCTTAGAATTGATTTCTGTGTTTTTACCCTGCAGTTATTGACGCTAACGGTGACTGCGGAGTAAACAAAACCACAAGACTTTTTTTTAAATTCTTACTCAAATACATACATGGTCAGACGGGAGTATAAACCCCTCCTACTATAAAATTGCAACATCATTTAATCCAACACCAGTTACAATGGTGAAGGACCTCAACAATTTTTTTCTTTCGATAATCATAATGATATGAATAATAAAATTTGATTCTTGCGTTTTTACCCTGCAGTCATCGACGCTAACGGTGACTGTGGAGTGAACAAAACCACAAGACTTTTCTCAGATGAAGGCTACATCTTCAGCCCCGGGTACTCCTTATCCAGCTACCCGCAGGACCTGGAGTGTACCTGGCTTGTAGAGTCCCAGCCGGGCAGTACGATAGACGTCACGTTCTTAGACTTCCAGCTCAGCTATACCTACAGCTGCGACTTCGCGGCGGACTACGTGCAGATCGGGAACTCCAACACGTCCTACGCCTTTAAATACTGCGATTCCGACTCGCCGCAGCCTTTTCAGACCAGGGATAACCGACTGTGGGTCTCCTTCAAGTCCGGGCAGTGGAGGCACAGGGGATTCTGGTTGTACTACAAAGGTGATGTTTCTGAAAAAATATATGCAATGACTGAATGACTGACTGAATGAATGAATGAATGAATGACTGAATGAATGAATGAATGAATGAGTGTGCAATTGGGACCCTGATATTATAGATTTGGTGTTGGGCGTGTTGACATTAACGTAAAAGATCCATAATACAGGAAATTCGTCATCAAGTATGTACATGCAGATGCAAATCCATCGCTATCATTAAGTACATAGAAGCAAATTCCTCGACCGTAATTTTGTATATAGCAATTATGGCTGCAGATCGTCTGGCAAGACGACAAAGGCCCAAGAAGAAGCTATGAATACTAAAAATACCATACGAAATGGTCCTCATTAGATGTTGAAGATTAACACAAAACAAGGCAAACTAACCCCGTTGTTAAAAACAGATGGTGCCGTGTGGACCCACTGTGTGTTGATGTATATGTGTCTTTGAAGGTTACTTTAGTACTTGATTGTATCTAGTCCCTGGTGGCCTTTAATTGGCCCACCGCCCCAGTAGCCTGATTACACAAGCGTGACAAATCTGCGAGAATCTGAACCCGATCATATGGTGTATTTTCCGTCTGGCTTCATGTATAGAAAAGTCATCTAGTAGACGTGCACTGAAAGTGGGACATGCTAGTTGGAAACCTGCCTAACCTTTCGGATATACCTTTATGGGGAAATAGGTCTTTTTTCATCCTCCTTATCTTTAGAGAACAAAAAGGCCATAACTTTTTCTGTCAATCTGGATCTGTCCTTGGCAACCTTTTTTGCCAGCATAATCCCACACAGTGTCTGTCTTCTCTGTCACGACCAGTGGGAAATTAGCTCTTTAAAGAGCTAAAGCTGGATCGAGATCACTTTCACTGTTATATCAAAGCCTTGTCTTCGCTGCCATTACCATCGAAAGAATAGCTCTTCAGTGAGCTAAAACTGGATCAAGATCACCTTCACTATCATACGATATTTACCCTCTCCGGAGCTACAGGTGGTTGGCATTTTTGTTTATTAGCAGAGCAAGCGTTCAATCTCTCTCAGAACGCCAGCCGACCAGATTTCATTCCAGAGTTCCCCGCCCCCTCTCCAGCCGTCTGGCGCCGGGACCCATCGTGACCAATTGAAGGTTTCTGAAAAGTGATGCGAAATCCGGAGGTCTGACTGGCTGGTCGTTTTCACGCGCGACTTCCCGCAGATTGGGTAGTTTGATACAGGCTCCACGGGGGAAGAAGCTCGTGTGTAACTGTGGGCAATGGACGGTTGGGTCCTAAGCAGCATCTTTGATTTGTAGCTTTTTTGCTCTGCTACATATTGCTACGCATTATGAAGCTGCTTCAGGGTGGATGATGCTACTGTAGATCAGCAACAGTATCGTGGGCAGTGGACGGTTAAGTTACACAGACTTCTAAGTAACATCTTTGATTTGTAGCTTCTTTCCTCTGTTACATATTGGGGGGCATTATGAAGCTTCGGGTGCTGTATACAGTAGAGTGGGTTCATTCCTAACCTACGTCTATCACGCCGGTATATCTGGAGCAGCATAGTTACCCTTTAGAGCTTTTATTCGGCAAGTCACTAAGCTCCAAGGTCTCTGGTCATCGTGAAGAATGCCGAACGAACAGCAAGCTGCAAGGTGTTGCTGGTAGAAATCGTGTGTCCATCATCTTTCGAGTTGGAAAGATGCTGCTACTATAGATCTGCAATAGTATCATGGGCAGTGGATGGTTGAGTTACGCAGACTTCTAAGTAGAATATCTGATTTGTAGCTTCTTTCCTCTGTTACATATTGTGGCGCATTATAAGCTTCAGGTGGAAGTGGAGTAGGATCCAGTAGAGTGGGTTCCTTTCTAACCTACATCTGTCACTCCTAAATATTTGCAGCAGCATAGTTCACGTTTAAAACTTTTATTCAGCCTGTCACTAAGCTCCAAGCTATCATCAAGAACTCCGAACGAACAACAAGCTGTAAGGTGTTGATTGTAGAAATCGTGTGTCCATCATCTTTCGAGTTGGAAAGATACTGCTACTATAGATCTGCAATAGTATCATGGGCAGTGGATGGTTGAGTTACGCAGACTTCTAAGTAGAATCTCTGATTTGTAGCTTTTTTCCTCTGTTACATATTACGGCGCATTATGAAGCTTCAGGGTGTTGTATACAGTAGAGTGGGTTCATTCCTAACCTACATCTATCACTCCGATATCTGGAGCAGTATATAGTTCACGTTTAGAACTTGTATTCAGCCTGTCACTACGCTAGAGGGTATCAGCAATCTTTAGAGGTGGAAATATGTTTCTACTTTAAAACTGTGCAAAACTTTATTTGTAGCCAGAGTATACATAAACCTCTACCAGACTCAAAATGGAAAATAGAAGAAGTCCTGATCCTGAAGTTCGGACGCGGTCTGATGGAGTCCCCGACATTCGGACAGTGGCTGCCTCCTACTCGAGGAGAGACCAGCGGTAGAGACACTAGATCTAGCTACAAACTGAACACTGTCACTGCCAGAACTGAGAGAATTAAAAACAGTGCAATACCGCATATCGTGCGACTACTGAATGGGGACTGAGATTGCCATTTTATTGTCCAAAGACTTTTAATGCAACCTGTACCTGTGTGCAAATCTGATCTTTTAACGTATTTTATATTAATAATAATGACGGATAAGAATTTTAATGTGTGATAACTTTTTATTAATCAACCAATGATAAATATGTAATTGTCAGAGCAATTCAGGTCCCAATTACACGGGACCTGCCATTCTGTACAAATGAATATGTGACAAATAAACCATTAATTAATTAATTAAGTCGGTCAAATAGATTTATGCCAGAATAGATAGTCGACCATTGCAAAACAGCATATTGCCTGCCAACTTCAACCTGCCATTCAGTATATTTGACTAATGTCTACCATGTTTTAGCAATGCATTGGAGTCTGAGAGTCTGAGAGGGACTAATCATACACATTGTGTTCCTAATTATTAGACAATTGTTGGACATTTTGACGAATGTGAAAATCTTTAATTCTTACCAGGTTCAGGAGACTCGGTTGATTCCGACCGGCCGAGCTCGGATTACTGGAGATCAGGCTCGGCCCAGTACGGGTGGAGCAGGGGAGAGGACTCAGGGGGAACGGCGTTCGTAGGTTTGTACTCAATACAAGTCAATTCTTTATTCACATAATAACATAGATAACATGTACATAAAGCCCGTACATAAGTAAACATACAAGAAATTGACAAAAGAAAATGCTGTCACTACTGCTGTTACTAAACACAAATATGTTTAATATTTTGAGATGCTGAACGGTTTGACATTTAGGTAAAAAGATACAAAAGAAAACTTACTCAAGCAACTGGGTGGATTTTGAACGATTGGACGTTCGTGTAGCACTGGCGAAAAGGAGTGGGTGCTACGTTTGGCAGTTTGCATGACACTTTTCAAACGTCTGATAGTTCTCAGAATCTACCTGTTGCTTGAGTGACTATTTTTATGTGTAAATGTGCACTCTAGATCTGTTTGACAACATGGGACAGCCTGTTTCTTCTCATACAGGATGGAGTAGGGACCCCAACAAAATGGACTCCGTTAAAAGATCAACTGGAGCAAGCATACGTAAGTATTTACTTCCGGGACGAAAGTATTATTTTGGGTGGCACTGTTAAGGGAGTTGTATGTAATTCGTCTTGAGTACGGAGGTTTGGACGTGAGTGGGTAGGGATTAAATATTGATAGCGTTCCAGCAGATTGACAGGGTTGTGAACGGGTAGGATGTGGTGTGAGGTCTCCAGAAATATCGTATTCTGTTAAATTGTTCATCGTTTTATGTCTGCTTGAGGTTGTGGTGACATTGATCATACACCGCTGCGTAACATACAGGTGCACAAATGAAGTGGTGACACAGTTCTATCATCCGGAGCGAATAGCCTATAAAGGCATCCAATGCAATTTCAGAGCAGCAAAACTGCAAATATTCGGAATAAGCCAATCTTTAAGATAGTGACACAAACGGCTTAATATTAGCACTGCGCATTTCAATCAGTATTTCATACTATGGGTATTTAAAACTGCTGAAACAGGCCCCAAGATGAGTCCTTTATTTTCTGGGTGGTACCCTAAAATCAGCCAAGGGCCCTTCCAGTAACCATTTTCCGTCAGAAATTTGGATATTTTTGCTCCATGAGGGTCAATATATATTGGGGCAGTGTGGTTTCAACTCACTATGTAGTTGTAGATAAATGACTAGAATATTAGCTTTGAAAAATTGGGCACGAAGTATACAGAAAACTTGTTACACATCGGCTAAATAAAAGACTTGGTTGTGTAAAAAGGGTTACACGTCGGCTAAATAAGTTGCCTTTAATCTGCATTAACGTGCCTTTCCTCTCTCCTGCAGATCCGTCATCCCGGCTCGTACTGACACAGGTCATCACAGCAGTGACTACATTACTGGCGATACGGAACTGACTTACACAAAAACGACGCCATCTTGTGGAAATGAACAGGCGGAAATAGAATGAACTGGATGTGCTGCTTTGCACGTCATTAGTGACGTCTGGGAGTTTGATATCAATGTGAAACTATCAGGACAGAAACCTCTCAGTTTTACTGTCGTTAACTCAATATGAAAGGACAGCAAAATGAGCAACTTACCAGTGCCTTAAAGCTACATTTCACCCCTTTCTCAATATCCTTTCGATTCAGGAATGCCATACAGGAATCTAAAAGGAATCAATTAGCACAACTGTTGACAGAAATTGATTGTCTCCTCTAAAATTGCCAACTCTGTAAACGACTATAATTGTAGTTTTTTCCACATTTCATAAAAGATATAAGACGTTCTGAACCTCCCAGGATGCGCAGCTGTTTTAGGTTGACGTGTTTGTGGGGACCCACTGGCTGCTGAAGATATCAGGTGAGATGACGTCAGCGTCACATCGTCAGGTGTAATGCTTAGGTCACGTTTCCAAACCGGGGCCCACCCGGTCTGTATGAACGAAAAATTAACAATTTATACCAAGAATATACAGAAAGGGTGACCATGATTATTATCAGAAGCTGTGCAGTGTTTTGTTGTCTTTTATATCATATTTTTCGTTCCCAAAAGCTGCCCGGCCGGGCCCCGTGTGGGAATTGTGACCCCAGCAAAAGTTATGTAAATCGTGCACATATCGTTCAATTTTATCAATGACACTTCTATTAATCTTATGTTTGCATGAGCTATGCCATTCTATTGAGCTTTATAGTATAATATAATAGAGTATAATACATAAGACACACACACACACACACACACACACACACACACACACACACACACACACACAACAAACACAAACAAACACAGACGCACACCAAAACACAGATACCGTACATACGATACGATCTTACAGTGATTGAATATTTTTTATGCAGATAACCCGACTGACTGGAAGGGCATCAGCTTTGACCATGGCCGTGGCAAGGTGGCTGATGGCAACTTAAGAGGATTAAGACGTAGTTGTTGCACTGGCATAGTCATATACAATTGTATGGCGTTTTGTGGTGCAATACATTCTAGATGTAGTCCATACGGAATTTTATAGTATTTCTCATTCTTTCAGGTGCTGTTCATAGGAAATCACAGGGTACAACTAAAGCGCATACTGCACCGTTCTCGTAGCATGAAAGTTGGCAAATTATACAATGAAAGTTAAAAGTTGGCAAATTATACAATGAAAGTTAAACTGTTTTCTCCAACTCAAAAGTGAACTATCGACCGAACCGTTCGGTCTTTATCATCAATCTGGCCCAAGTGCTGTAGACACGTGATTTTTTCCACACGTGTGACGTCATCACTGGGTCAAAGTTCGGAAGTCGGTATCGCCCATGCCAGCGGTCCCCTCTACATCACCAAAGTTGTGCTTGTTTTGATCTCTGGATGAAAACCCTTGTAGCGACATAGTTTTTGTCTGTATCTGCATCGATTCTAAAACTTAAATGACATATTCAATGATCAGTAAATGTACCGTAGCATAGAAAAGCAGGAAACCAGTTTAAGTGCAGGTGGTGCAACAACAAGTAAAATTGCTTTGTGTGTACGGCTGGTTGGTTCTTTTATGGGATGTTACTTACTGTAAGGCCGCAAGGTGGCGTGTGTGGAACATTTCATAGCTCCCGAGAGGGAGGGGGGTCGTAGAAAAATTATTACATCATTTAAAACACGTCGGAATGCTTTGGCATTGACTCATCAGGACAGTAATGACAATGACAATAGGACTGAAAAAAAGAATATTTATTCCGAATAAAAACATGTTTAAAACAACAGTCACATTCATTTGTCACAAAGAACTATTGTTGTGAACATAGTTTTTTTTTTATATTTCAACATGTAATCACCAGACGTGGTGACGGCACACTCAAATTTTATCAACTTATATTAATGCCGCCACCAACACAGGGGACAAATACATGACAGGGCAATATTCATTCTTACCTGTCTTACATACATGTATGATGCTGAAGATACAAACCTTCACATTTGCAGAATGATATAACGTACGCACAGGAGTAACGATGGTATTCAATCGGAAAGAAACAGATAACCGAGGAACAAATCACAGGCAAAGCACGAACACCATCTGGAAGTGCAGGTACGAGATAAAGATCGTGCTTCAGATCTCTCCATACGTCAAACCTCGTGCGTCAGACTTCGCAGAGCACTATTAGCTTCGATCGACGTGTATCCAGGGCCGTGGGAAACTGGTCATCAGATCCATCTTTCGGCTGGTTTGACGTATTTCGAATTCGCAGTAAGGTCTTACATGACGAGCTACAGATCTAGTAATACATTCGTCAAGCAATACATACGTGATGAACAGTTCTACCAGTTTCGTATTCCAGTGACGCTGATGAAGAGTGATAGATTTATTTCACATGAAAGATCCAGAAGTAATATCTGTATTTGATCCAGCAGTAGAATTTGACTCCTTTACCTGGATGGCACAACTAGTTTCCATATAAGTTCTTACATGACGACCTACAGACCTAGTAATACAAGTAATACATACGTGATCACTAGTTTTATCAGTTCATCTTTCAGCTAGTTTGACGTCACAGTATATGTATGTTCTGATATGACGTGTTACAAACCTAGTACCTAGTAATACAAATATCGTTGAAGAGGTTCATCACTCACGTAAGATTACATTCAGTAGAATATTCTTCAATCAGTGACTGTTTTTGTAAAGTAAAACACGTACACGTACACGTTCCTCCAAACTTTCGATGTCGTCTGTACGTCTTGATCACGGAGTGACCTAGTCTCGCGAGGCACGTGTTTTACCTTACAAAAACAGTCACTGATTGAAGAATACCCTACTAACTAGTAATACAAGTAATACATACGTGATGAGTAGATTTACCAGTTCGTGCTAGTGACGCTGAAGAAGAGTGATGGGTTTCCCACAAAAGGTCCAGAAGTAATCTTCGTATTTGATGCTGTGGCAGAGTTTGAATTAACAGTTTATTCATAAAAACCAGCCTCGATGTCTTTACAGAAACATGCTGAACAACACTGATTTTTTTTACAGTCGTCTAGCAAATACAAATTAACATTGAAATACATATACAAACACACGGACAAAAACATTACAAAAAGCCTCACATGGGCACTAAAGTAAAGACCAGAGAGTCCTAGGAGTTTTACTGCGAAGACTCGTTGTACAGGCATATTGCGTTGTGTATTGCCTTGTGAATTGAGTACTCATCACCTGGATGGCACGTGTAACTTTTATCTATGTACGTAGAGGAGCTTTGTGGTTGCCGGGTTGCAATATTGTGTCGTTTTACGTTTGAATCATATAATATTCCATACAGTTTTTTGATTCCCTGCTCATCATCTTTCAATATGTCTTTTATGATTCCTTTTAAGTCCTGTATTACTGACTATGTTTATTTTGACCATGTTTCAACACATGATGATAGTCTGTTCGATTATCAGGATCTAAATTTGTGTGAAGTAAATCTTAGACAACTCTTCGAAAAGTTTGTTTGCTCTGGACCATTATTTACTCAAGGAAATCATCTGTGTCCCCGTTTAATGTTTAAGGTTTTAATGAACCTCCAGACTGCAGAATTCATTTCTGCATCGAACACTCAGTTTCTATAACAGTCAAGTGCAGACTTAGTCTTTTTGTGTTGTACATGTTGTAATTGTTGTGAACCTGTATGTTCTGTTCATACCTATGTTGTATTTTATGTATTATCATTCGTAGGGATGGGAAGATGACAACTATGAGACGTAATTCGACCGGTTTCGACTTTATTCAGTCTTTCTCAAGAATGTATTTATGTATTATGTAAGGTCAGCCGAAATTCAGCGGTCAATAATTCTTTATTATGTACTGCTGCCATGCTGACCAATGTTTTTAATAAAGAATAAATAGAAAATAGAAAAAAAATGGGAAGCTCAAATCATCCCGCAGACCGCTTTTCATATTGAGGTCAGGGTCTGACAAGATACATCAAACATGTTAAGTTTACATGATTTTTGATGGATTCTTTACCGTGCAAGGGGTGTGACTCTCCACAAACACGGAGCCCCCAGTGTCTCTCAGTTCGATAGCTGCTGCTTAAGTTTAATTCTTGGCATTGACCGTTAAAGACTCCACAGCGGCCTTGAGCGTGCCTTTATTTCCCAGACAGATTCATTAGCGAGCGTCTCTGCGGGACATTTAGCGGGAAAAACCCTCCAACCGACTCCACAAACGATTAACCTGGAATCTCTAACAGCCCTGTAATAGCTCTACTGGATACCGCATGGCTCAACGCCAGGGCACCGGTTATGGGTCTTCAATAATAATAAGGACCGCAAATGATCGCTATTGGAGTAATGATTATGACATTTTGGGAACACTACATTCAGGATGTTAAGTAAATTTGGCTTGCCACTGGATAAGGCTACGTTCACATCCAGATGCGGCCACATTTGTCCTAGGTCGTACTACGATTACGTCGATGAAGGTTAGACATCCAGGTAATACGATACGCCATACGCCAAGCAACTGGATATGATTTTGGGAACGGTCAGTCGTTTCAGCTAGTATCCACTAGATTTCGTCAGTGACTACGATTGTTTCGTCAAGCAAGATGTGACAGAAAATAAAGGAGACAACCAGAATCTAATCTAAGGAGTATTGTCCGTGAGACGACTTATGGAATTTTGGAAATTTGAAGCCGAATTTTTCACGACACCTTCACGACAATCACACGACGTCTTCGAAACGTCGGTTTGCGATCGTACGGCGTTCGCTCGACGTTATGTGACCGATATGCAAGCTAGATGAGTTTCGTCAGCAATCTGAACTTGATGTCCAAACCTCCCTGCCATTCCATCCCCCAATGAGGGCCTGCATGCCCTTCTTCGTAAGGCGCAATCAGGCCTTTTCAGTCTTCATAATCCGTAGGCAACCTCCCCAAAAATCAACGTAATTCATAACAGAACATCAGCTGCAAAGCGTAAAGTCGTAATACGCTCTGTGACTTTAACGCAATTCGTAATTGGCGGCGAAATTTTTTGCGTAATTCGTAATCACTACCCCCATGCAGGCCCTCCCAATCTTAACGCCATATCACCCCCAAACCTGAGCTATTATTCCAATTGATCCTACTCCGGAATCAGTATGCAGGCT